ATAGATAGATAGATAGATAGATAGATAGATAGATAGATAGATAGATAGATAGATAGATAGATAGATAGATAGATAGATAGATAGATAGATAGATAGATGAGGATATAAGCTAGTGAGATGGAAATGAGAGCTGTTTTCTCCTGCTGCTGATTCAGGCAGAGAGCTGGGTTGGGCATGCTGTAGCTGAATCAGCAGGGTTTTGCTCCCCTGCAGCCTCCTGCTGGAGCTCTGGTCACATGATGAGGGAGAGAAAGCACTCTGCAGTATCAGTGCAGGACGGGATGGGTGAAGTGTGTGTGAGGGAGAGGAAAAGAGAGAGACAGAGGGAAACAGGGTCCTGCGCTCACCCGGGGTCTGAGGGCTGAGTCACAAACAGTGTCGGCACCCACCTTGCAGTGTATTAACTTCCCCTTTTAACCAGCATAGATTGAGCCCCCTGCAGGAGTGAGCTGCAAATAAGCCAAAACTGACATCTGTGACACAAGCTGTTACCCTTTTGGGACTGCTGGAAAATTCAAACACACTGACAGCTTTACACAGCGCCACGACGGTGTACACACAACTCTGTGCGTTATGCTAGCGCTGATGCTGCCTTAGTACTGTGTCTTCTTCTCTCAGGGCGGTGAGCACTGTTACTACCATGGCCAGGTGAGAGGGAACGATAACTCCCACGCAGCCTTATCTACCTGTAACGGTTTGCAGTAAGTGAACATCAGATTTTTATTTTTTTTTTGTGAAATCCTCGCCGCGCTCAGAATATCTCTGGATGTACTCATCTCTGCTGCTTAGCTCCTATTGACTCGGTATTGACTGGTGTGTCTCTCCCTTTTATTCTCCCTCTGCCTGGCAGTGGGATGTTTGACGATGGAGTCCATGTGTATCTAATTGAGCCCTTACAACAGAATCATTCAAGTGTAAGTTATTCCTTTAGCAGACACGCACACTGCGATCAAACAAACATCCTCACCTTGGATGGAAACACATGTTTTATGCTGTTACTCCTTTTTGTTCTCAGGCAAGGATATCCTACCAGGATCATCCTGTTTTCAAAGGAAACGGCCATTTCCTACATGGGATTAACATGACCTTATGTTTTTTTTTTTACATATGGCTATAGCAAAAGACAAATAATCTGCATTTTTATTGCATGTTAATCATCATAATTCCTATTTGTCAAGCCATAGTAGAAAGCTGGTTAAGGTTAGGGTGGTTTTCTAGTCCTGGATGACTATTCAGTGATGGCTCTGGCCCACACCAGTTCTTCCTGTTATGGTAAATGGCCTGTATTTGTATATAGCGCTTTACTTAGTCCCTAAGGACCCCAAAGCGCTTCACACTACATTCAGTCATCCACCCATTCACACACACATTCACACATTAGTGATGGCAAGCTACATTGTAGCCACAGCTGCCCTGGGGCGCACTGACAGAGGCGAGGCTGCTGGACACTGGCGCCACCGGGCCCTCTGACCAATAGTCATAATTATATCATAGTTATAGAGAAAGAGGAACTTTAGGTGCTAATGGGAATCTGTGGCCAAAAAAATCACGAGTGCTGGGATGTTTAGCGATTGCCAGCACTTGATGCTGGCAATCGCTTTTGATTGCGCAGTATCTGTTTTCTAGCATTGACGGTCTACATGTTTGTGCACTGCTAGAAATGTTCCTTTTCCTGCTACTACAAGTGGATTTGACTGCATTGTTGGTGGGAAAAATAGTTTCCCCCCTTTACATGCAAACATAAGTGCTCTTGTTCTTTATAAAACTGGAACACCTCGTGCTCTTGAAATCAGCAACTCAAGAGTACTCACTCTGATACATAACAGCAGCTAAACGTCAGAAAAGATGTGCAGCAGGCATTCAGCGCCAAACATTTTTATTTGTGTAATTATTTAGTCCTGCATTTACTTTTGTAAATCCTTGATAAATTATGTGTTTAAACTTATTTTTTTCATCTGCTCTGCCTGCTTGTACAAGTCACCCTCCCTTTTTTTTTCACCGATTTGTTTGCCTGACTCCTACAGGATACAGCTGCTAGGCCTCACAAACTAAGAAGAGCAGCCTCTTCTTTGTGGGATGATGATTCAGTGGAGCAGGGTAAGGTTTCGATGCTTGTCATTAGCCTTTTCACATAACTGTCTTTATCAGTCCTTCCCCTCTGACCAGCACCACACCTCTTTTGACTTCCTAAACCTGACATTATCATCCCTGTCTTCAGACACAAAGCAAGAACAGGAATGTCCAGATAGGCTGTCACCCCAGAAGAGACCTTTAGAACAAACTGGATTGGATTTTAGTGTTATAGTTGCCAAATGGACCAAATGTATATCACTTTCCTTGGATCACAAGCACTTGCCTCGCTGCCGTTTTGCCAAGTTCCCTGTCTTCACTCGTCTTTTTGCATTTCATAGGAAATTTTGAGACACGCTGTGGAAATTTCTGGGAAAATGTCACATGCATAACTGATTTCTTTCAAAACAAGGCTACAGGGATGTAAACACTTGAGTCTGTAGAGGTGTCACTCTTTCCTTGTGCTTATTTGCAGAGGAAGAGGAGGAGCAGCTCTTCTCCGAGCTGGATGAACTGTCCTGGCTGAGGCGCAGGAAAAAGCGAGCAGTAAGTCTCTGATCTCACCTCTCTCTGAAGTAATGCAATGACTTTAGTGCACTCACCCCGGCTGCGTTTCACAGTTTACAATAAAAACACCCACAGACGTTTACAAGGTTAGACCTGTGGTGATACTCCAAATTATACACTTGAAGCTGCCTGGTCATTGTTGTTTTGTTTTGCAGATGCCTCGCAGCGTATTTGAGGAGATGAAGTATTTAGAAGTCATGATTGTCAGTGACCACAGTATGGTGCGTAAAAATCTCTCCTTTTTTCCTCATTTGATGCTATGTGGCTGGTATTTTATCATGGACAAAAGGATACTCTTTAATATTCCAGACCTGGGCCGACTCCCTCCCAGAAGAGGGAGCAGCAAGCGCCACCGAACGTTACACACTGTACATCACTGTGTGCTATTTTTCCCTCCCCCTTTCTGTTTGCAGTTTAAACGACACAGGAACAAGCAGCACACGAGGAACTTTGCCAAGTCAGTAGTTAATCTTGTGGATAGTGTGAGTAAGCTTTTTACTTATCCTTTGAGCAAACTGGAGTGTGTGCTTTTTTTGGAAACCTCTTTTAGAATATCATCTGTAGAAGACCTACTAGAAGTTCGGCAACGTCTCCTACTGTACTTAATAACAGTTGACTTTTAATGTTTTGCCATCAGCAGGTCTAACTTCACTCAGCTACTATTATCACCAAATCAGCACCAACATACTGACAGTCTAGCCCAGGGGTGTCGAATTCCAGGCCTCGAGGGCCGGCCCTTGAGGCCTGGAGTTCTGCAGGTTTTAGATCTCACCCTGGGTCAACACAACTGAATCACATGACTAGTTCATTACCAGGCCTCTGGAGAACTTCCAGACATGTTGAGGAGGTAATTTAGACATTTAAATCAGCTGTGTTGGATCAACGGCACATCTGAAACCTGCAGGGCACCGGCCCTCGAGGTCTGGAGTTCGACACCTGCGGTCTAGCACATGACTTCTCTGGCATCACAAGCTGGATAAGATTTGATTTTGTTCAGTGCTCACTATCTGCAAAATGTTTAACATTTCATTCACCCTCGTGTCTAATTTGCATTTGATGCTTAAACTACAATGGTAAACCTTGTCACAGGACTAAAATGCACAACTCCAGGCAGACAAAATAATGCAAAGCAAACCTTTTATTTTGTTGACGTCGTAGATCAATAACTAAAACAAGGAAACCACAGAGAACCGGGGTAAACAGCAAGCACACATCCAGGGAAGACAAAGACTAATTGGAAGAAAGGCAGTATACAGTCACTAGACACTTTGTTAGGTACAGCCGTTCAATAGCTGCTCATTAGCCCAACCATTGAATCGGCCAATCACATGGCAGCAACTCAGTGTATGGAGGCATGTAGAGGTGTCAAGATGACCTGCGGAAACTTACATTGACTGTCAGAATGGGGAAACGGGTTATTTAAGTGACAGTGCTGCTAAAACTTTGGCACGTTTGGGATGCAATGGAAGAGTCACATCATTATTGTGCAGCTGACAAATCTGCAACAACTGAGGGAGGCTGTCACATCAATATGGACCTGATTTGCTGAGGAATGTTTCCAGCATCTAGTTGAATCTATGCCCGGAGAATTAAACATTTAAATGCAGTTTGTAGTGAGTGTATATAAACAACCTGAGGGCAAACTGGGAGCAGGAGAGAAATGAAACATGGGTGAAGGTACAAGATAATCACAGGGGAGGAAGTAAAAGTCAAAGCAAGACACAAGAGACAACTGACAGAGTAAAACAGGAAATAACTCAAAAGATAAATACTAAACACAGACAAGAAACTCACTCTGGTTAGTCTTGAGCTACAATACCTCAAGACAGCAACTGGAATACAAGGAAGCATAAAAAACGTACACATTTGACTAGAACAGGCTTCTGTTTTCATTTTATCTAAGCGTAAAAAACATATCTTCAGTAATACTGCAAAGGATCAAATCAGGAATCCAAAACTCATCATGCCACAGATAAGAATCAAAACTTCAAACACTAGAATAACAGAGAAAGCAAAACAGACACCCAAACTCAGATAGATAACTAAGAATTCAAAACTCCAAAAATAACTGGCAAACATCATAGCTAAACATCAGTGTTATCCTTGTCTGTCTGTGTTCTTTGTATGTGTGTAAACACTCCCCTGTATTCCTCCCCGCTCCCATTATTCTACATCCGTCCTCCGCTTCCTTTGCTGTCGCTCTCTGCCTCTATCTCACACGTTTTGTTGTGTTTTTTTTCCTTTACTGCTTCCATTCATTGCTTCCGACGGCAGATCTTCAAAGAGCAACTCCATACACGTGTGGTGCTTGTTGCGGTGGAGATTTGGACAGACAGGGATCACATCCCCATAAGTGTGAAGCCGCTGGAACTGCTGCGTGATTTCTCCAAGTACCGGCAGCAAAGCATCAAGCACCATGCCGATTCTGTGCAGCTACTCTCGTAAGTTCACCCTTCGGGGGCTGAACAGATCGTTTGGGATGGTCTCTGTTGTTCTGGTTTTGCTCTGATGGAAGTACGCTTTGTTTGCCTGCCTGTAACTAAAGCAGCACTGCTGTGTTCTTACCTGCTTTGTGCTATTTATATCTTCCGTCTTATTCTTCATCTCCATCATTCTTGCAGAAACGCCACCTTCCACTACCGCAGAAGCAGCACTGCGTACTTTGGAGGCATGTGTTCTGTGAGCCGTGGAGTAGGCGTCAATGAGGTCAGATTTACTGTGACACATCCAGCATTGCTCTGTGGACGTATCGCAGTGTGATTATGCGGTGAATAATATGTTGTCACTGTTGTGCCAACAGTACGGCACCACCTCGTCCATGGTAGTGTCTCTTTCCCAGAGCCTGGCACAGAACCTGGGCATCCAGTGGGATCCGGCATCCAAGAGAAGTAAACATGAAACACTTTTTCTTAACACACAGCTGCTATAAGCACGATAGGCATGGCAGGCTAAAGTCACAAAGTTCATGGCACATAGTAAATAATAGTTTTTATGTAGCGGTCTCAAAAATGCACCTGTCAGTTATGATACATTTGGTGTTTTATTGAAGACCCTGTGATCCCTACACTGGTTTCAGATGCCTCTCTAACATTATCCAGCTTTGCTTGAATTAAGGTCAGGATGGGAACATTTTTCACTCTTAAAACAGACATACACACAAAACTGAAATGCTTTTGCTGCACGGCTAAAGTTGTTTGTAAAGTAGAGAAAATGTTTTGAAGTCAGGTGTTTAAATGCACTTTATTTAAGACTGCTAACTGGATGTAACCTCACATCTGGAAATTGGAGAAGTAGCAGAAATGTAGGTGTTTTTCTTTCTCGAAATTGTATTTTTAGTACTTTGAGCACCACAAATACTTCTGCTCTCAACTCTTTAGGTCTAAGAAGGAAGTGTTTTGTGTTAAGTGAACTTTCACATTTCACTATTCTGTTACTATTGGCATTTAACTGTTTAAATACAGGATACAATGCATTTTTTTGAAAGTCTTGACTGATATTTTAGATGTCATTCACAGGCCTCCTCTAAAACAAAAAGTCTCTTTGCAACCCTGTTGCCAGAAGTCACCGTCGGTGGACTGACTGTATTTGAGAAAAGTAGACCAGAAAATGTCCGAGAAAGAATTTATGCCATCAGATTTGAGATCGCCATGCTTAATGAGGCAGCTGCCAGGTTAGAAACTACAAGCTGGAAAAAATGCTAGCCATCAGCAAAAGTCTATTTGTGGCCCCAAAGCTGCCAAGGAGAATGTCAGTGTAAAATAAAGTGAAAGGATTCTTCATTATTCAGCAGAAAGCTGGATATCAGGAGTTAAATCCACGGATTAAGACTGCTTTTCTTTGAAATTACAAAAAAAAATAAAAAATTATGCTAACATGCTTACTTTGTCTACTCTAAGTCTTTATTTAAAATGAAAGTTGTGGATGCTATCTTTTCTTACTCTGTCCGTTCCTCTTTCTCTGGTGTTTCTACACTTTCTGCCCTGTTTTGCAGAGGAATGCGGCTGTACTAGCCAGTGGGCTGGCTGCATAATGGAGGATACTGGGTAAGATCCAACATACCCCCGAGAAACACGCATACACAGTCATTCATTCACATGGCGGAGCAATTACAAATGCTCGTTTGTGTGCACTCAGTAATGTAGTAATCAGTACTCGTTCAGCTTTTTTCCTTGTTGCTTGTTATTAACTAACTCTGAGCGACTGTTTAATACAGTTACACAGTTTTTAACCACCTAGTCAGTCAGTACACAAGTAAGAAAATGAATAAGTTGCACCTACTGTAATTTTGGCATGCTGTTTTGTGAATAATAAGCAACTCTTTTAGCTAAAGTAGGATTGGGTATATAAAAGGTAGCTGTAGTCACCAGGGTGTCCCCCATTGGTTAGTTATGTTCCTAGAGAGGATTGTGCCGTCACCATCTTGTTGTTTTGAAACTGGACAGGATGAGCAAAAGTGGCTCTGACTCAAAAACTGAGGGACAAAGCATGCTGTTACGATAGTGACTGGTCAGTGACCAGAAGCATACCCAGCTTTATCATTCTACACGCCTCTATTTGACACCACAATTTAAATCATGTTGTATTCAATTTAACTTGAAACTTGCAACTGAGAACATAAACACACTTCCATTGGTCAAAATTTCAGGTTATTATTTCAAGATTTTAAACGTAATGATACGTTTTAGTCAGTAAGCTGAAATTTTGAGATATCTAATGAAAATTCACTTTTGGCAAATTTGCATGCATTCAGATTACTTGAAGTCAACATTTTTGGCATATTCTTTTGACTGTATCCTGTTTGGTTGGACAAACTTATAAATATCATTGTCTTCTCTCTGCAGAGTCCAACACCCACAAAAATTCTCCAAATGCAGCATCTCAGACTACAAGGAGTTCCTCCTGAAAGGTGGAGGTTCTTGTTTGTTCAACAGGCCAACCAAGGTTAGTCGCCCCTTCTCTCAACATGTCAAACTTTTACGCACACGTGCTCCTTTTACACCGTCTTGTCCTCTCCTGACAGCTGTTCGAGGCAGCAAATTGTGGGAATGGATTTGTAGAACTGGGAGAGGAGTGCGACTGCGGACTGAGAACAGTGAGGGTCTTTTTACTTCATCACGTCACGCACGCCCATTTGCCATCTTCTCTTTGTTCAGATGCTTGAAGCTCGTTTCCCTTTGTTTTCAGGACTGCCAAAAGGAATGCTGCAAGAAGTGCTCCCTCGCCAATGGGGCACACTGCAGCGACGGACCATGCTGCAATAAAACATGCTTGGTACAAGCTTGGTTCTTTCTTTTTAAAGCTCTGAAAAACTAGTAGTTGATTTCTGAAATCTAACGCTGTTTTATTCTCCTTTTCTTGCCAGTTCTACCCACGAGGTTACAGCTGCCGCTATGCTGTGAACGACTGTGACATCTCAGAGACCTGCTCTGGGGACTCGGGACAGGTTGAGCTTATGGTTTATTTAGCTTTAAATAGCTTTAATTAGTTCATTTTTTTGCACGTTGAACACAAATTTGGCTGTTAAAAAAGAAAGGTTGTTCTCTTTGTGATTTTTACAGTGCCCGCCAAACCTTCATAAACAAGATGGTTACACCTGCCAGGTAAACCAGGTAAGAAATGGGTATTTACAAAAATATAAATGCCAACGTGTGCTCAAAGTTTTCTGATTTTTTTATTAATCTCTATCTAAAGGGTCGCTGTTACAGTGGAGAGTGTAAGACCAGAGAGAACCAGTGTAAATACATCTGGGGATCAAGTAAGGTTTAATGCTTCTCAGGTTAATTTGAGCACGGGTTCTGCACAAGGAGAGGCAGCGTGCAGCTCATCGCCCCTCTTTTTGTTTTAGAGGCTGGAGGCTCGGAGAAGTTCTGCTATGAGAAGCTGAACACGGAGGGGACAGAGAAGGGCAACTGTGGAAAAGATGGAGAAAAATGGATCCAGTGTAGCAAACAGTGAGCACAAAATAATAACACTGTCGCACATTCATTGAATAATAAAGTGCCTGAAAGCATATTTTGAACTTTTCTAAACTGATCGGCCAACATTTACACCCATTTTGTGCACCAAGCAGCCAGCTGTGCATAGGTGAGAAAGTTTTACTGTTAAGATCCTTTAGGATCCCCAAATTTTTGTTGTGGTATTCCAAAGATATGTTGTACAAGTTAATCCTGTTATGTGGAATTTCAGCATCAGGTTTCTCAGTTGTTGTTGTTTTACAGCCATCCAACAGAGGGCGCCAAAGGACCCTGTTTAAAATGGATAATTGCCATCAAATGCCAGGAATGTATTTTTACCAATCAGATCAATTACTAAAAACAGATTCCAGGGAAACCACCTCAGCACACATGTCTTCAGTCTTCCTGGCTTTTCTCTTTAACTGGGATGTGGTGGTAAAAGTCAAGTCAGTTTACACTGCCCAGCCAAAAAAAGCTGAAGCCTGAAATATTTAACTGGACTGCCTTTAGCTTCGATGACAGCACGCATTTGCAGTGGCGTCGTTTCAAAAAGCTCATGCAGTTTCACAATATGTATTCTCGTCCAGAGTGGCATTTATTTTTTAACAAGACTGATGTCGGCGGAATCAGAACGTCTTCTCCGGCACATTCCTAATAAGGCAATATTCCCAATAACAGTTAAAGTCAGTTAAGTATGGGTTGGCCAACCCACATGTGAAAATGATGCCTCATGCTCCTTGAACCATTTATTCATAGTCCGAACCTGATAAATCGTAGCATTGCTATCTTGGAACATGAATGTGCTATCAGGGAAGAAAAACATCCACTAGTATATTCAGGTAGTCAGCTGACCTTATTTTAGGCCACATGACACTGTAGAACCAACGGAAGCAGCCGGAGATTGTAAAATTGCCTCTGCAGGCTTGTACACTAGGCGCTCGGCATGATGGGTCCATCGTTTCATCCACCCCTTTTTTGACTTCGTTCCTCCTTCCAGGTTTTACACAATGACATTTCTTTTTTTGTTTTCGTTTTTCTTTGCTGGAGATAACAGAAGGCTTAAAACTTTCCTTTTTGCGTATAGTTAAGGCTGGATCAGGTGATTCTGAACCACTCCTTGGGTATGCTGCAGTAATCTTAGACTGCTGGGAGAGTCCCATGTCCTTCACTCACTTTCTTTTTCAGTTTCCATGTGTTTATAGAAGGATATTGCATTTAATTATTAGTAATTCATTTTAAATTCTAGCTCTCCCATAGTGTGCCTTTTGTCCTAACTCCCTCTGCTCTCACTTTCCCCTCACACCCATGGCATGGATCCAAGTCGCCCACGCATTCTTGTGGGCCTACTTGTGGTTTCTACTGGAGGTTTCTTCCCGTTAAAAGGGATTTTTTCCTTCCAACTGTCACCAAGTGCTTGCTCATAGGGTGTTGTCTCATTGTTGGGGTTTCTCTGTAGTTCTGTGGGGTCTCTAACAATATAAAGGTGACAGTAGAACAGACCAATAACCTTCTGAAACAAACTAAAATCTTTTCCACAATCACGGGAAATGTTTTGTGATGTGGTTGTTTGTTCACTGCATCAGTTAGGGTTAATTAAATGACATGTTGCCAGCTGCATTAAGTAATCACTGCAGTAATTATCCAATGAAAGGCTTATACTTAATAGCTTAGTTAAATCCAGGTGGCGACTTCTTTTTGGCCAGGCAGTGTATTTGTAAAACATGTTTAAAGGTAAGCAGTGTGACTTTAAAATTGCACTTAATATTAAAGACCAAACATCGACTGCAACAGATCAAATGAAAGTTATCAGTACGAGGTTTCAGATCTTTACAGATGTCGCTTTGAACCAAACTAATAGATCTTTTTGGTGCATTTTGGTAATTGGTGGTGCAGAGGTGAACATTACATTGTTAGACAGGTGGAAGAGTGTTATCTGTACACATTTTTGGTTGCTTATCTCTCTCTTTTACAGTGACGTGTTCTGTGGTTTCCTTTTGTGTACCAATGTCGGGCGTGTCCCTCGCATTGGAAGCATGAAAGGAGACAGTACCCCCACCTCCTTCAACCACCAAGGGAACGTCATACAGTGCACGTAAACACATTTACTTTAATATAATGCCTGGGGCCTGGGGGCTCTTTACCCATGTGGGAAATAAATAGAAAAACTCTGTAGTAAATTTGGGGGATTTTTTGTGTCGCAATGGGCCATTTTCTCATAAAACGCAAGCTGTTACTAGAAGTTTTTCTATTTCTTTCTAAAAATGGGTGCCTACAGGCAGTGTTTCTTCTGTAGCTTTATTTTTTGGGAGACTTCAACACTCCTCACCTCTACTCCATCCTTCTCCTCAGGGGTGCCCACGTCCTTTTGGATGATGAAACTGATTTAGGCTACGTGGAGGATGGGACTCCCTGTGGGCCGTCAATGATGTGCCTTGACCGCAAGTGTCTGCCCATCCAGTCACTTAACATGAGCACCTGCCCCATTGGACCTAACGGACATGTGTGCTCGGGCCATGGGGTGAGTATTTGTACACACTTACCTACACCTACTCTTTGCTCACTGGCAAATTGAGAGGGTGTTCGCTCATTTTTAGAAGATTAGCAAGCATGGACTGCGTGTAGTATTTGTTTGTAAGGGCTGCAGAACGTTTCCAACACCTTTGATGAAAAGGGTGCTTACTGAGTCATGGATAAAGGCTGTTTATGCTCTAACTTAGAGTTTCTGTTGAGCAAACACCAGTATTTGCTCTTTGTTTATTAAATCTCACTCTGGAGGGATGAGGAGAAATAAGGAGGCTCATTGCATTTCAAATGCCCAGGGTTGTTGATTTTCTTTTTCTCAGTAGAAAAAGTCAAACAAAAGCCTCAAGCTTAAGGGAAATATGCAACTGGCAATCCTTTATTCAGGTGTCAACACAAACTGGAAACTGGGGAAAACCTCTACCCTTCTACGGAAATGTCAAATACCTCTTATACCAGTAAGCCAAACTGGCTTTATTTAGATTTTTTTAAGAAGAGGTTGCAGAATAAAGCTCTTTTAATTCTGTATTTAAATAAAAATAAATAAAATACTTCTCTTCATCCATCTATCCATTTTCTTAACAGCTTATGCAATTCAGGGTCATTCAGGGTTGTAGTCGAGTCTATCCCAGCTGTCTTTTCAAACTCTAAATGTGCTTCCTTTCTGAGTGGCCCGGCACGTGCAGCATCATTTCTCAGCTGATGTGGTAGAAATTGCCACAATTAAAAATATGTAAATACATAATAATCAAAAATCGTAATCTTTTCTGCAGGAAATACAATGCTTTATATTTCCTGAATTAAATGCAACTCAAATTGTTTTTGAAAATATTATTTTGACGATAAAATAAACACACAGACACAAAACAATAATAATAGCTTGATTTGCTCTATACTGCATTGAGACGTGCATCTTCCCAGAAATGTAACTTCCTATGGTTACAATATGTGATTATGATTCCAATAATAGCATTTTGCTATTAATTACTAATGCAGTAGCTACTATTTTTCCAAATTCAAAATGTTCCATGTAGCCATTGTTCAGTATTTATTATCTTAGAGTCCAACATGATTGGATGAGTTTCACTTGAGACGAAGTAATGCAGACACACCAGTGCACAAGTATAAATGCAAAGCGTTAACTAACTGCAGCGTTAGGTTCTTCAGGGATTTAGTTCAGCACTATAAATGAAGCTTAAGATGTTTCTTAAAGAAGTTTTTTTCCCAAGCGAGTTCTCCTCAGGGGGCTATAGCTGCCTGGGAAATTACACGTCGGTTGATTGATTTTCTTCAAGAGTCCCAGTAAGCCAGTCAGCCGAAAACCAGCTTGCCTAAATTAAATACATTTTTTACACCATCCTGCACTTTTCTCGCTGTGATGCTTTTCTGTGATGCTCACACCAGCTTGGATTACTGGAGCTGAATAAAACAGAGCTATTGTGTTTTTTCTATCATACATCAAAACCTATGCCAGATTTTTTTGTATAATGTTGGGGAAAAATGGAAGAGAAAAAGTTCCTTGAGGGGAATTTAAAAAAACTCCATCTTTCATTCTGTTTACCTCTGTATGTCTGCTGTGCACAGGTATGCAACAATGAAGCCACATGCACCTGTGACACCACCTGGGCCGGGACAGACTGTAGCATGCCTGACCCGCCTAAAGAGCCCGATGTCACTCCAGAAGAAGAACCCAAGGGTCGGTTTCCAACCTTTCTACTCCCGCCATCCGCCATCCAAAAATGAATATATCCACCCTTTTTAATTTAGCCCAGATTCACATTGATCGTATGTTTAATGTAAATGTTATTACAGTGTCGCTCTCAGTCGCACTGCTAGATCTGAGTCAGTCGCACATTCCTGAGTTTCACAGGTCTACTGGGGAACATAAAGGCTTTGATTGTAGGAGAATGTAAAAGCAGTGTAAGATTTGTTTGCTCTGATTCTGAAGATGATGCTTTGACCACAGGGGGAGGGGCTTACGGGGCAGTGGTCACTTCATCCATGACTCTGAAGCAGAAGCCTGCTATTTGTTTTTGACAGGGTGGTAATAATGCTCCTTTTCCCCTCTGCACAGTGAGCGTGGCCACTAACAGGCTGATAGGGGCAGTAGCAGGGACCATTCTGGCCCTGGGGGTGATTTTTGGAGGCACAGGGTGGGGAATAGAGTAAGCATCTTTAACCCTTTCACAGCTCTTCCTCTCATAGTGGTGCCTCAGTGTGCGGGCGGTCTCGTGAGCCGGCCTGAGCCCGTGTGTGCGTCCCGGTGGCTTTGTGTTTTCTTGTGTGTTGGTGATGACCATATAATTGTCATGTGATTGGATGTTTTCAGTGTCGTGTGATTGATTGATGGTTCTCCCCTCCCTCCCTCCCTCCTTCCTCTCCTTCTCCTGTCACTTCCTGTCGTTCCCCATTACTACAAGCCTCTTTCTTCATCCTCCCTCTTCCCTCCCTACTTCCTCTCCTTTCTCTTATTCTTAGTCGTTATGTGGTTGCTCCTGTGATCCTCTCCTTTCTGGGGCATGTGGGGCATTTAGATGAAAACAGTCCTGAGAAGTGTCCAGTTAGTGACCTGGCTTGTCAGTCAGTGGTAGGCTGTGTGGTGACTGGGACCCCTAAAAACATTTTGTACTGCTCACACTGCAGATCACACGTACATGTCACCTGTAAACCTTTACAGTGATGGATACCCAGGGTCTACACAACCTTAACAGACAAACCACTGATAATCGCTACCTCAACTGACACCAGATAAACTTAAATATTTCCAGGGCGTTTGCTTGATTACATTCTCTTTATAACACTAAAAGGGGGTTGAAAAGCATGCAAAAAAATGCATTCTCAAACTCAGTCATTTTATTGTAATAGTATACTTATGGTATGTTTTCTGTTCCATGTGAAATCATCATTGTATAGCTAAATGTTATTAATACAGTAAATGAGTATAGGAACTCATGTCTTTTTCCCCATAACCCTTTACAGGTCCTAGTGCCACCAATCTAATAATAGGCTCCATCGCCGGAGCCATCCTTGTGGCTGCCATAGTGCTGGGGGGGACTGGATGGGGCTTTAAGTAAGCAACACGCCGCATGCCTCTCCTGCTCTAACTCTAGCATCCCTGCTGCTTCTAGACACCAGGGTTTGAGCTCCTGCTACAGAATACAGCATCCCAGGGTGGACATGTTACACTTACTACACTTAGGCTCACACTGACGAGGAGACATGCAGAACACATATGGGTGTGGAAGGCGTTCAGGTGTTTGATACTGTATGAGTAAATTTGACTTTGGGAAACGCTGGGGGTGTCTGTGCATCTGTAGCAGAACCTCAAACTGATTAGACGGGCAGAGTTCAATGTTTGACATGCATTTCATAGTAAAGTACAGAGGGGACAGAATACTTTATAACAGCTAAGTGGTTAAAAAAGTTTGTTTGTACTTGTATTACAGAAATTACTCCCCTTTAAAATCTTAAACTAGGCCATTCAGTGTCACTCTATGGCTAGGAAATCTACCCACCGCTGATTAGCCTGCTGTCTTGAGCAACAGGGGTGTTACGCATCCTAATCTAAACAGACCTAAGGACTAAATAATAAATATGGTCCTACAGCCACTAAAGCATGCCAGATAGCATCATGGTTGTCACTAAAACAGCAAAAAAAAAACAAAAAAAGAGAAAGAAAATAGAATAAGAAACCAAACATTTCTGCATGTTGACTTGTTGATTTGGAGGAGGTCAGTTCATTGCACAAAGGCTGAGACAAACCCTGAGCAATTTGGTCCGAGGGTTGTCGTGCTCTCATCACTTCCATGATGTTTTTTTCTCACTCCGTCGCTCTTTGAGGCCGAGGCTTTAAATGGAGTTATGAGAACAACACACACAGACACACAGAGAGAGAGAAGCCAGGACCTTTTTGTTGTCTGCAGCCTTTGTGCCATGGCTGGCCACACCCACCTGGATGGCTGAGCTCCGCCATAGAGCAGAGCAGGACTCTCGGACCCGCCCACACCAGCTGCCATTGCTGCCTGCTTCGCAGACCCGGTACAGACACGGCGCATTGCACTGCATGAACCACGCACAGCAATAGTGCCACCTTCAACTGGCCGACTATTGGAACAGGTGCATGACAGAGTGATAGAAGCCCCACAGCAAGCCACAGTACGGGGAGGTTATGCATCACTCCTGTTGTTGTACTCATTGTTGTCCCACTGTTGTGGTAGTAGTTACTGTTGCTGCTGCCGCCGCTGTGATCGTTATTTCTGTGCTCGTCTCCTCTTTCCTCCTCTCCGCTGTAGAGTACACGTTATGTTAGCTCTTTCCTCCCAGATGGTTGTTTTGAGTGGAACTAATGTGTTTCCCATCAATACCGGTAATGACACGTGTCTCCTACACTTCACCTTGTAAACTGATGTTGCACGAAGGAGCCGATCAGCACATCTGCAAGAAGGCAACAGAGTATATTTATATTCGTAACACCTTAAAAATGATGTAATATGGCTTAGACTTGATTGTTCTTTGATTTCAAAAATTAAACATATTTATTTATTTCAGATCTGGCCAGTACTACAAAAACTGTAAAGCAGATGTGATGTTTTCTCATCGCTGACACTGTAGACCTCAGGTTTGTGACTGTAAATACCTCTGACTGTCTCTTTGCAGTCAAGGCTGAGCGGGCCAACATGGACCAGCCTGTCCTCACTTCAGTGTCCTCGGCGTTTGATCCTGAAGCCCTCAAAAAGTGCACATTTGGAACATTTTCATCAGGCACACTTACACTGTGTCTAAAATCCCATACTATGTATCACTTAAACAGTAGGATTTAAACCTTAGGATACATTCCAGTGCCTTTGCTGAAATTTTATTAACAGCAGAGTGAAAGCATGTATTTAAACACTCAAGTTCAAGAGTTATCAATGTTAGATTTCAGCTCACTGTCCCGCTTACCCAAAATAGTATGTACCTCGCATGCTATTGGATACATACTGAGAATGTGTTATACCAAACAATCCTCACGTACTACTACTACTACTACTAAAAAGTACGTAAGTATGGGATTTTGCTCACAGCCTTACATAATAAACTGCAACTAACAGCATTTCCTTAAGAGAGCGTGGTTGCTTGTCCAGGTTGCACTAGCTCCGTTGCATATATAATTATAGCAGATGCTGACTTCTTTTTCTTATCTCCTCATCAAGAAATGTGAAGAAACGGCGGTATGACCCCAATGCCACAGCCATTTAACCCAAGGAGAAGATGGCAATCACACAGGGACTGCTCCAAGGCTTCCTTAGTTGGCTACCTGACAGCTGGACTGCACTTACTGCTGCTGATTCTTTGGCATTAGATTTACTTGAAAAAGACATAGTGGACATTTTAACAAATTTCCATCGTAGTGACATTATAAATGCAGCCTTTTTCAACTACACCTCACCCACGCCCCTCCACCCTGATCTCCAGAGTGACAGAGCTCCTCGTTCCATCCTTTAGTGCCAGTGCACAGGCGTTCAGGCGGAATCCACACCACTTTCTCACCTGGCATGAATAAAATCGAAACAAAACCTGCTGCTTGCTGGCCCGCCCGACCCCCACCCAACCCGCCCGCGCCCGGCATGAAGAGCCCTCTCTGCGGGGCTCTGCATGGCTACCAAAGCTATGAATATACCGCAAAAATAAAAAAGAAGAAAAAAGAAAACACAGAAAGAGGAGTAAAAATGCGCAGGAGAGAGCCTCATTAGAAACCAAACCCAGTGACAAGCCTGTTGAAGCTCCTGTTGAAGCAGAACTTCATGTGAGGACCTATAAGGGCAATGCAGGCCATGTAGTGAATGCGCACACACACACACATACACACATGCACACACCACTGTACATATTTAAGGAGTTCAGGGTTGGAAATGACAGCATATTTTCCAAGGACATCAAATGCTTTTGTTTTTTATCTTAACATCTTGTATAGCGGGTGTTTTTGGTAATGTTATTAAAATAAAAAACAAACAAACTGAGACTAGGATTTGGGCCAAAATGGTTAGAGAAGAAAATCTAAAGTCAGATTTGAGGACAGAGAGAGAAAGCTGTGGTGTCGAGGAGAAGCGCGTCATTTCCGGAGAGATTCAGACTGTGATCCGATTTAGCCCCCTGTTTTTGAAGTATCTTCAACACTGACTCAAAAGCCAAAGAACCAATCACCCGAACATGTGGATGTTGTTGCACACGGAGCACTTTCCCCTCTGTCTGCAGCCAGTGGTGCCTCTCATGCTGAGGGCATGAAGTCTGTCCATGCAGGCGCTCACGTGTCCGGCCAGGTCTCACTTAACAGTCCTCATCAACACCCACTATACTGGCTTAAGCCTTTTTGCTCTCATAAACTCTTAGTGGAAATCAAGTTCAGCTCTACAGGTAATGCTGCATGCAAATCACTATAGTGGGCTTATAATTCTATATGGGAGTCCCCAAAATCTGCAAGGAAAATATGCTACAAAAGATAGGTGCATGTCGACAATAAAAAACATTTAACTTTTATTTACTATGCAAAGAAAGATATTGCACAAAAGTATGGGTAATAGTGATATCGGTGTAGACATGGTTTTACAAAAGGAAAAAAAAAAAAACAACCTCTGCTAATCAGCTAATCTTTTGTATTTGGCCACTCCTATGTCTCCTTTCATTTCGCTTCAGTGTACTCAACCTGTGGATGGACAAGTAAAGAAATCATCAAAATAACTGAATTAGTATTTCAGAGGATAAGAGAGAGAGCACCCTTTTACATTTGTGGAACTGAAAATCATTTTTGTGTGTTTTTCATCCAGACAGATATTTTTAATCACACACACACACACATACACACTTATACACACACACACACACACTCTGTATGGTGCCTGTACATATCGAGGCCTGAACAGTTTCCTTGTGCAGGGCTATTATTTCCAGTCCAGCTGATTGTCGGTGTATTCCAGGTGCTGCCATAGCACTGGCATCGTTGTAATCCTCCATGTTAATCATTGTCTGGTGTCCCTCTCTCACTGCATTATGTACAGTTGGACTGATTAATAAACTACGGACAAATTTTATCCAA